CAATCTAGTGCCAATCACCGACGGACATCGATTGCCATCCATTGACGGCAACCGAATGTGCAGGAAGGCAGCTTCCACACCTGCGTAGGATATCGCACCCATTCAAACACACATGGGCTTTACTTCCCTTCCGAAGGAAGACGTGACCAGAGATGTTTATGCCTCAGAAAAATCCCACCGACCTCGGCTGGGATTGAACCCAGACGCATTGGGGTGAGAAAGCAGTCACGCTTACCACTACACCACCGGCGCCGGCTATAATAATATTGTATCTGCTTTTTGCTATTACATCATTATTTCATGCATCAGCTTGAATTACATTGATCGATATTACATTTTTTTTTTGCTGTGTACTAGTAATCGATATCATCTGTCGAACTGGGAACACGGCATATGCATCTCTGACTTCACAGCGCAGTTTGCATTCACGCTTATTCTATTCCTTTAAGCTGGGTTTAGACAGGGTAAGTCAAATGATCAACTCAGTTGAATTCAATTGGCTTGAAAAGTTGAGCCTGGTTCAACTTTTTTCAATTCAAGTGAGTTGATCAAGTCAGTTGAATGGCATGGTTTACACGTTCAATTCGCGTTCAAGTCAGTTGAATTCAACGGACTTGATCAATTGACTTGCCCTGTCTAAACCCAGCTTTAGAGTACTCTCGAACACGCATAAAAGTCATACTTGTAAGCTTCATTGAGCGCACCGCCTCTCCCGATTGTGCGATCCAACACATATACACTTAACCTTCCGTTACTCGCGCTCTTGTACTTTGTACAACACACATGAATTTTCCATTGCCATTTTGTTGCTGAGTTACCAATCGATCTGAACCCAACAAGTATTCCGCACAAAACTTGTTTTGATCTAAACAAGCTAAACTTTGATTACAGTAAACACCCAACAATGCGGATAATAAGGAAAATGTAAATGGAGATATATATATATCGAGATCATGACCAGATATTTAGAAAGTTACTGTCTGCGACAAAGTTGTTCAGGAGATCATAGCCTTGTCGCTGGCGGACAGTAGTTCAGAATTTTCTCACTACGTAGCGCTAGTATACATGTGAAATTCTCGCATGTGATATACCTCGAGATCCTGACCAGATAGAAAGTTACTGTCTTTCACAAAGTTTTTCAGGAGATCAAAGCCTATTGCTTGGTGCTCAATAGTTCAGAATTTGCTCACTACGCGACGCTAGTATACACGTGAAATTCTCATATAAAATATCTCGAGTTCTCAACCAGATAGAAATGTACTGTCTTCGGCATTGTTGTTCAGGAGGTCAAGGCTTTTTCGCAGGGTGACAGTAGTTCAGAGTTTTCTCACTTTGCGGCGCTACTATGCATGTGAAACTCTTGCATATAAAATTTCCTTAGATCCTGACCAGATAGAAAGTAAATGTATTCAGCAAAGTTTTTCAGGAAGTCAAAATATTTTTGTTGGGTGACAATAGTTCAGAATTTTCTCACTATGCGGCGCTAGTATATACGTGCTTTTCTCGCATATTCAATAGCTCGAGATCTTGATCAGCTACAAAGTTGCTGTCTTGGGTAAAGTTGTTAAGGGGGTCAAGACTTTTTGGCTGGTAAACAGTAGCTAAGAATTTTCTCACCACGTGGCGTTAGTATGTACCCTTCTTGCATATGCTATATCTCGAGATCCTGATCAGATAGAAAGTTACTGTCTACGACAAAGTTATTCAGGAGGTCAAGGTCTTTTGGCTGGTGGACAGTAGTTCAGAATTTTCTCATTTCATGGTGCTAGTATACATTTGAAATTCTCGCATATGAAATATCTCAAGTTCTTGACCAGATAGAAAATTACTGTCGTCGCACAGTGGGACAGCGAAGCCATTCGCGTGGCAAAAACCTCTAGCGCCGTTGGTTTGCTTTCTACAGCGATACAATGTTCTACAAAGTTGCTCAATATTAAAAGCGCCATCTTTTGAAAGTTTCATATTAGTTCATTTTTACGCCACATAGGTGGCGCTCGAGTTTATCTTTTGAACGGAGCATCCTAGCCGAATGTTTTTTCCGGCAAAGTTGTGTAATTTGAAGTGTTGAGAAATGTTGTCCAAGACATCGAAACTCTATGAATCACATTAAGCGAGATATCGGACAATTAGGAAAACTAACCCTTTTTTCCTTTTTTTTCACCTATATACGTCAAATGTATAAGTTTTATACTCTGATAATTATTTATTTATTTATTTTTATTTAATACATCCATCTGACAATAAGTCTTAATGAACCAGAAGCCATAACAAATACTAAATGTATCTGGAGTTAATAATACGTCTCTGGAATTGAGCAGCAGGTTCTCCAAACTCGAACAACTCTTCAACTGTAGAAAACGTGCGAATCATACTCGTAACAGGTTCATGTTGTCCAAAAGAAGAGCGGTGTGAGTCTTGACGCAATAGGAACGTTGAGCGTAGAAATCTGCTTGGCGCACGAAAGTTCAAGCAAGAGAGTAAGTGGGTAGAGTCAATTTCACCACTTAATAACTTCGCGACGAATGTTGCCTGTTGAATTTGTCGCCGTCGTTGTAACGTGTCCATGCTTAGCAAGCGACATCTCTCAGCATACGGAGGTAAGTTTAGTGGATCTCTCCAAGGAAGTTGTCTTAATGCTCGACGAATGAATGTTTTTTGGATACGTTCTATTCTGATGTTCCAGGAAAGTTGGTAGGGAGTCCAAACAACAGATGCAGTCTCGATAATCGGACGAACGAGTGAACAGTACAGTGCTTTTAAACAGTACGGATCCGAAAAATCTCTTGAGATTCTTGATATAAAACCAAGCTGACGATTAGCTTTAGTGATTACCATTGAACGGTGTAAGTCAAACGTAAGTTTAGGGTCCAACATTACACCTAGGTCGCTTACTTGTTCTACTCTTTCTAGTACAAATCCATCAATTGAGTAATCGAATACGATTGGCGTTCTTGTGCGATTAAATGTCATGACCACACATTTTGATATACTGACGGAAAGCTTGTTTAAGCGGCACCAATCAACAAATTGGTCTAACATTGCTTGGAGCTGACGGCAATCCTCGACGTTCTTGAGAACAATGTATAGTTTGAGATCATCAGCGTATATGAGCACACAACCACTCGGCAAGAGGAGCGTCACATCGTTGAAGAAGATTGTGAACAGCAATGGTCCTAAATTGCTGCCCTGGGGAACACCCGAGGTTGCAGCAAATGGTGATGAAGTGCACGAACCCAGCTTGACACGAAGTGTTCTGTTGGAAAGATATGATTTCAGCCAATCAACCAAACCATCCGAAATTCCCAGGCGAGACATTTTCCGAAGAAGAATACCATGATCGTGAACTCCAGCAAATTTGATGTAACTGAGCGTCCTGGCATAAATCCGTGTTGCGTTGCTGAAATGTAGCTCTTGACATGAAAGAAGATAGCATCGTTCACAATGATCTCGAATAATTTTGAAGCTGCAGATAGACTTGTTATGCCACGATAATTTGTCACGTCACGTTTGTCGCCCTTCTTATGGACAGGGAACATAAAGGAATGTCTCCATATTTCGGGGAAAACTCCTTGGTGCAACGAAGCGGTAAAGATGCGAGCTAGGGGATCAGCTAAAACAGCAACACAGCGGCAAAAAATGATTGCAGGTACACCATCAGGACCCGGTGAAACAGATTTCTTCAACTTCCTAACAGCTTTAACGACATACATATTGCTAACCACAAATGTACGCAAATCAATGAGACCCTCAGGAACATTGCAAGCCGCTCTTTCTACTTCATCTGCGTTGGCGGCTGAATCCGAAAAAACAGAACTGAAGTGGCGGGAAAATAGATCACACGATTCGAGCATAGAAGTAGACTCCAAATCGCCAAAAAATACGGATGAAGGAATATTCGACGATTTTCGCTTGGAGTTCACAAACTTCCAGAAGCTCTTGGGATTTCTACGTAAATTGGTCTGGACACGCAAGACATATGACTTGTATAGGGTTGAATTAAGCTTACGGTAGGCGTTGCAAGCGCGATGAAAGTTGCGTTTCGTTTCAGAAGTTCGATGTCGGCAAAGTTTACGCTGCCAGGAATTTTTATCGCGTTTCAAAAGCCGCAGGAGAGGAGAACTCCAAGCAGGAGATATAGGAGGTTTTCGTCTTGGAGTGTTATCGGTGAGCCAATTGCAAATTATGTTGCAAAATTGTGCTGCCATATCGTTGACGTCATTTGTTGCCAGAATACTGCTCCAATCACAGCTCATCAGGAACTCGTTGAGCATGACGAAGTCGATTTTTGAGTAGTCGAGCGTATGTTCACCAGCATCAAGGGATTCCACACGGTCAACACAATCGGATTGAGTTGGTAAGGAGAATAAAATCGGTGGATGATGCAAATCAATAGCCAGCAATGGGGACACCGCTTCGTTAACTACAATGTTGCAATCGGAATCACAGAAAACCAAATCTAGCATGCGCCCCAGGTGATTGCGAATAGAGTTGTATTGCCGGATATTCAGGAAGCTCGTTCCATCCATCAGAGCAGCACTGGCAGCAGACGTCGTGGAAGGATCAAGGTTTAAGATTCCATCATCAAGACAATCCCATGCTATGTGTGGTTGATTGTAGTCACCACAAGCAAGCAAAAGGTCACCATCTGGAGTTGCATCACGTAATTCACGAAGAGTAGCTAAATGGGCATCGATAACACCTACGTCCCGACTACGATCTGGAGGAATATATACAGCGCAAAGCACGAACCGCTTTCCGCGAATACAGGCAGACACACACTGAATTTTCGGCGCGTCCCGACATAGGTAGGGAACGTTCAAGGCGTTGTCCATGTTGGCTGGAGGTACTCCCGGCAGAACAAGTTGGTGATCTGAGGAGGGAATCATCATCAGGCAGGAAATTATGAAAATTATGTTGATACTTGCCTAGACAAGCAAGCTGGAAGACCTCTTCTCGCACATCAGACACAGGGCCGGGACGACTTCGACTGCATTCACCATTTATCGGCGCGACTGTGCTGAGTGGATAAGAGGCTTCCAAAATGCATATTTTTGCGCGTCCCGGGGTCCATCTAACGGTTGATTTGCTGCAAACGTCGTCTGCGGTGTCACTGGCGTGGGTGTTAGATTCACACCAGATGGTCTCCGAAATTTTTGAGCCGAGTGATCTTCGAATTCACGGAATAGAACTCCTTCGGGCCAAGATGACGGATCCAAAGCTCTCTTCTTCAAAGCTGGGTCTAGACCGACTTTGAATGAAATAAAGGTCATGTTACTGGTGTCGGTTCCTTTGGCGACCAATCTCACAAAATCAGGTTCATTTTCGAGTTCCAGGTTGGCTTTCACCATTTCAGAGATTGCTTCGTTGCTCACATCACGTTGGATACGGGACAAGTAGAGCCAGAATTTTGCCGCCGGTTTTTCACATGTAGGTACAGAGATGACGTTCTGACCCAACAGTTTTGAACCAGACTGACACTCAGATGTTTTAGGCACCACAGAGTCGGATCCACGAAATCGTTTTGATGGTCGAGTTGCTTCAAGTGTTGGCCATCGGTTGACAGCAGGTGGCAGAATTGACGGGACAGGCTTTGATGACAACTGTTTAATTTCCGTCTGCAAATTCGTGATAGCTTCCGTGAGAGAAAGCAGCGGTGATTTTTCAACTGCCAAATTGGTGATGGATCGGAGGTGGGAATTCTCAAAAAGTTCCGCACATTTATCGCACATCCAAAAGAGGTTTTTCCGATGGGATGTGAAGTAACCAGACAGGGCACGAGACACTCCGGAACACGTCATGTGAAACACACTGCCACAGTATCCTCGGCAGTTCACATACTCAATGCCAGTAATTTCCAACGAGCACTTGGCACAATTTGTCTCCATGCTGGCAGTTGAACGGTCAAACGCCTTTAATTAGACTTCTTGCAGGAACAAAAGTTGGCGGAAGGACGGTGATGACAAACAAGCTCAGGATGATTGAGTGCTGTTTCAACAATAGCACGTAGGTGAAGAATGAACAAAAACAACTCTATAGCACAGCACAGCGCGGACAAAAACAGTTAAATTGTACTTCGAATAACTACTTTACGAGCACAATTTTTTAACAATAATGTCCGGATGATTAAAACGAAAAACTTGGTCAAGAAATAAATATTTTTGACTAGATAAGACACGAAAAATAACGAATAAAACTACGACTTGAAATAGCACAAGTAGCAAAGCCACACGTTATGACTTCTGTCTGGTAGTTACAGTATCACGACTTCCCTGGGCATAGAGTATGATTGTACTTGCCACACAATTATATTAATGCAAAAATGGTACAGGCATCGAAAGCTCTCAATTAATAACTGTGGAAGTGCATCTAGACCACTAAGTTGAGACCACGCAATAAGCTAATATGCCATACCCAACAAACAATCGTCTATTGAAGAAACGACTTCTTAGCCATTTTATTCAACTGCATGCTTAATAGTACTTGTACTATTTTTAATAACAACTTCTGTTCCGGCTTTGTTAACACAAATCTGGAGAATTTATTCAACCACAACATTGAACTACTTTGGTGTTGTATAAGGTATGTCGAGAAGCTTTTATTCGACTTATATGAGTTGTAACAGAGTTCATACGATAAAATTTTTGATTATTCAGCGTTTATTAGACATCACTGCTTCCTTTTTAAACAGTGATGCTCTGTATACCCTTGATTCTCATGTGAAGTAACGTTTAATTAGACATTATTATACATTTATTAAACGATTATTCAACTGTGGGAAAATTAACCAGAAAATAAGATGGGACGGGGACAGACAGGGAAGGAAGGGTGTGTTTCTTAAGTGTAATTGTATCCATTATTTCTGACGTTGCTCGCACCACACAGATATTAGAAAATTTATAAATACTTATACATGTCGTTGTATGGGATTCGAACCATGTACCTTCCGATCACCAGCCGCTTGCCTTGTCATCTGAGCTATCCTAGAATTCATCATATGGGCAACTCAATAATCAATAAAAGCTTGCATGAAAGTAAATACCTATCAGCACTCCCGATCGCAACTCTAGCTCCTTCAAGGCCCTGTGGGAATGATTAATTCATTCATCGTTGTTTAACATGAGACCAATGTTACCTCTTCACCACTCCAATCCCAAGGAAGGTTATTTTATTAACTAGATAAATGCATTCATTATCGTGAGTCATGTGATCGATGATTACTATTTAAATTAATTAGATGTAGAAAACAAATAAAAAAAGGGTTAAGCTTGGGATTGAACTCATGACCTTCTAATTGGAAAGCGGAAACGGTAACCACTACTCTACTGATTTCGCCTTGTTGTTAGATTGAATCAGTGTTGTCGAATAATGAATCTAATACGTCGTTTATAAAGCATTTATAAATCATTTGATTACAACATGGACGCATAGTGGTATAATAGCTATTATGCTGACTGTATTCACCTTTATTCAGCAATATTGTAAAGTAATGCAATGAAATCTAATAAAGGAGCTGGAGAACATTTATTAGACGTCTAATAAAGCATGTTATTAAATCAATTGAAAACAGTCGAATTAAAGTGTCAATGTATGCACAAATTACACTTATTCAGTTTGTTATTAGATCAAACTTCTGGCGTTGAATTGGGAAGACATTTAACACCTTATCATGTTTTACACACAAAGCAAAATTTCAACAAATTTGAAAGAATTTACGAAATGCAATATTCAAATAATGTTATATGAAAATGCCTGCAGTTGTCTGTTCAACTGTGGTCGTTATTTTACTCAGCAAGGTCTACACTAATCACTGTAAAAAAATTGGCTGCTACTTTTTGCTATATTTTGAGTTATTTACATTTTTATGCATCACTTTTTTAAGACATTTATGTTAATAACTTTATAATAAAGTATGATAAATAAAATAATGGGATGAGTCAAACCATTTTGATAATTATCAGAGTATAAAACTTATAAATTTGACGTATAGGGTTAACTACCCTATTTCCGGCCTATTAAGCACAGCCCGCACTTAGTCTTTCTTAATCTAGCGTAGTTTAGCATCAAACGGAATGTTATTATTACTGATGGCTTCCAAATTTACTTATCTTTCCGTATGTACAGTAAGATATGATAAAGAGAAACCAATCGCTGAGATATTGTCAAAAGTCTAACACTGTTTCTTGACGCCAAACTCGGCCTGTGGATTCTAAACTCGGCCTAACGCATTGAAACGCCATTGAAACGCCAATGAATTCACTTCGGCCTATCGGATGAAGATAAAAATTGATTCGGTCGGAGCGCTTCTTTTGTCTTTGGGAATAATGGGTGCAAACCTTCATATCACGCGTTTTCGTTGACTTCGTTCCGTAGCTCATTAGCTAAAGTATCGTACCAAACGCATAATTGACTCGTTAACTTTGAAATCATGGATTTATTTGAAGTTTCCTGCTCGATAGGCCCAAAATGGGCGATTAGGCCGAAGTAGTTCTCTACCCTATAGGTGTAAAAAGGAAAAAAAACAATTTTACAGGTTAGTTTTCCTAATTGCCCGATATCTCGCTTAATGTGAGCCATAGAGTTTCGATGTCTTCGACAACATTTCTCAACACTTCAAATTACACAACTTTGCCGTGAAAAAATTAAAGGGTTGTGTCCTAGACACGACCGCAGTATGACGTAGAACCACACAAAATTGATGTTTTTCATGCATTTTTGACTATTATGTAACGAATGCAAAAGTTTCAGGCATTCAGCAGCTTAAGCGCCACTCTCGTAAGTTGAGAGACTGCTGTTGCTGTTGGAATGCTCGGCTAGAGACTCTATTTCAAGGCAGGTAGTTAACGCTCAAACACCCGAATCCAATTTAGCTTTCCCAATCCGCAGGCCGAAAAACTATATCCCTAACTCAATCTGAGAATAATGAGAGGATATTCTGTCCCCCACAGCGGTGTGATCGAAACACAAATCAATTCCCCAGAACACCCTATGTGGCACGTCAACTTGAAAATAAAGAACCTACATATTTGCTTTTAGGATTGCTACAGGTAAAATCATTGTATTAATCATTTCTCAATTTTGGGTTCCCTGCCTGAAAAGTGACGTCACTAGGTTCTATTTTGTGGGTACAAAGTTCGCTTAATTCTACGCTAACCTGTGTACTGCTATGCTGGCTCACGATAGCTGGATACGCTGATCGACAACTTCGTACTGACCTGGAATCGGTCTCGGTAACCGGAAATCATTCACATTCGGGTAACCGGGACGACCATCATGCGGTCACGCTCACCTTGAGTAAGCTACCAAGCACACGTCGGTAAGTAGGTAATCGGCTCGATCGGGGCTCCCGCGTATGAGTTTAGTTAGGGCAGTCCTGTGCACGTTCGCGCACGTGCGATGTTTCGACGTCCAATGACGTAACGGCTCGTAACGAATGGTTCGGGCCGTTGATAGCTCACGTTACCTGAACGGTCGCCACAAACGACCACGTGGCGGCGATACTGTCGTCTTCGCTGTTTTCGTGCAGATTTTGTGTGGGGTGTCGGACCGTAGGGTGTTGGGCGGCCTAGCTTAGTCAAGCTCGGCGTTTATCGTATCTCGGTGCTACTTGGTTCACCACTGGGTCAGCACAAACCGACTGAAACAACCGATCAGCGAATGAGCCACTCCAAACAAACACCCACGTTGAGCGGTGGGTATTGTCCCTGTTCAACGTGTACAAGTTTGTAGAAAATCACATCTTTCACCGAGCAATTTTTGTACGAGATCTTACCTGACTAGTTTTAAGTTTCAAATTCAGACAACTAGTCTGGTCTAACTTGACTACACAGGTTAACCACAATCCTAGGAACACATATAGTTTTAAATTTGACTATTTATTTAGGAATTTTGACAACACTAAACTCACTGTTACGTTGATAATCAGGCCGCACTATCAACTTTTCACAAATTGAAGGTTACTTAATATCTAACTTTAAGCAGCGATACTTTTTTACGTGTTCTCAAGAGGACGCGGACCACCAAAGTAAAATTCAAAACCCCATATGGACCACTCGATTACTAAATGTCTTTTTAATCGCCTCAAACAATACGCTATTGTATTGGAGCTGCGGGAAATGAATTTCATCTCATTTTATCCTACGCTAAATGATGCTTTCTTCTTCCCACGAACACCGATCAGAGGGAGTTTTTTTTTTACCAGTAGCTAGTATATTTTGGTCATCATATCTTTTTCGAAATCATCAACCAGCCCGGAGGGAAAGTAAATGAGATCCGTTGGATGGAACTCACATCAAATTTTAAATACACGGGCAAAGCAGTTTGTCATTTCACGTAGAGAGGGCGAAAAACTTGCATGAAAGTAACTGAAGCTTTGATTTGAAACATAAAGCTCCAATACTACAGATGAGTTCACAATGTAGCTTACAATTATACTTTATCTTAAAATTTTCAAGTATTTCAATGTTTCAGTTATGGTTGACTCAAAATAATTTACACATTTTTCTTGACAAATATCCATGTAAAATTCCACATGATTTTTATTTGACCACACATAACCAGAATCCACTCAGAAGTACACATGAAATTTATACGCAAATGAATAGTATGTGTGGTCACGCATGGTTTATATAGGGGAATTTACGTATTCTCGTCAATCTAAGCAGTGTCCACACTTCTATTAGCATTTTCTCAGCGTCACGCACATATATGACGTGTCTGTTGGTTTACATTCATCTGCTGCTTGCTTCTCTATCCATTTTAATCGACAGAATTCTTCAAAACTGTTTGAAAGCGTTTTTACAACGCTCCAAACTTCTCAGGTGAGTGTGACTATTGTCGGCAGCCTCGTTTTCTTCGGCAACCTTCCCATTAGAACTGCGTGTTAACG